ATGAATTATATTTATGAATATGAAATGGTATATGAATAATAAATAATATAGAAATAATAATTATGTGATGTATGATGAGAAAATGAAAATAAAATAAAATAAAAAATGGAAAGAAGAATTAAAATGGAAAAGTATGGAACATTATGAAATAGAAGAGAAAGCGGAATACGAGCAGTATACACAAAATAAATGAAAAATAATTAAATGTCTACAGGAAACGAAACAACAAAATAAGAATAGATTATAAGAAGATAAAAATAAAGAAACACAAAACTCAGTGAAATGAGAAAGTGAACGCAACACAAAATACTAATAATAATAAAATTCATAGACAAAATAATAATAATAACTACAATAGCAACATATTTGATAATTTTTAAAATAGGAATTATTCTAATAGTAATAATAGTGACAACAATAATAACAATAACAACCATAATAATTATAACACGAGAAATTTCAACAATAATAATAGTAATTATTATCTACAAAATAATAATATAATAATAATAATAGAAATACTATGTGTTATGAAAGAGGAAAAAGATCTCTGGGGACATTTTTGAAGAAATGACTTTAAAAAATTACATATAAAAAATTATAAATTCATATTAGGAAGTAGTTTTCATATAAAAAAAAATTTAAATTTTCATTTGAAATTTTACCAAACAATTTGGAAAATTCCAAATGTAAATTTGGGAACTTGTGATGGTAATGAATCATTAAAAAATAGAAAATAAAGTTTTACTCAATATAAAATATATCTTGATGAATAATATATTTAAAAATATCACCCTGTACATCGAATTCTTGGATAAAAAAAATTTGTCAAATCAGATGTCAGAATATCCGGGGAAACGGGGATGGATAGATTTTTTTTTTTTGAAGATTGGTTTAAAAATTTCTGACGGAGAACCAATTTTCTGTTTTCGAAGGCTTCATGTAATCTAAATTTACAAGTTGCGATAATTCATAAAGATTTATAGAGTCATAACATATTTAATAATTTAAAAGTCAAATAGACAAGTTGTAACACTGAGTTGTATGGTATAGTAAACAGTTCAAATTGTATGGTGACCGGAAGACGGTGCAAGGAAGAGCAGCCGGATTGCCTGAAAGGGAATCTACAACGGATAAGAAATTTAGATCCAGTTACAAAAGACTTCTCTTGTGAGTAGATCATTTTTTATTGATGTGAAAGTAAAGGACAAATTGCTATCTGCTTTGGCATTCATACCAAAGACTGTCTCTCACTGATATTTATGTAAAGTATAATAGTAGAAATTATCAAAACAATTATAGTTAGTACATTTTGAGAATTAAAAAGTCAAAATTTGACTAAATGTTAGTTTGAAATATGTCAAAGAAATTTTGAAATTCTAAATAAAGGTATAAATAATAAATAAATATATACCAAGTTTTTAATTTAATTGCCTGTTAAATATATCGTAGTTATTAATAAGTGTGTATGATGATGAATGAATGGTTAATAGAATTAAGTTAGTAGATAGAAAATTTATTTGATGTTCAAAAAGTTAAACTTTGTTAGAATTTATTATTGATAATAAATTAGAAATTGTTGTATGTACAATTTGTCTATTTTACAAAAAAATAAAATTTTTACAAGGTGATACAACTAATAATAATAATAATACTAACAAATATTAAAACAATATTAGTAACTAATTTTTATATAAATTATAGTCTAGGTAGTTTATTGTTGATTTTGTTGTTGTTACTATAATCTAAATAATCTAAATAAACTAAATAAACTAAATAAACTAAATAAACTAAATAAACTAAATAAACTAAATAAACTAAATAAACTAAATAAACTAAATAAACTAAATAAACTAAATAAACTAAATAAACTAAATAAACTAAATAAACTAAATAAACTAAATAAACTAAATAAACTAAATAAACTAAATAAACTAAATAAACTAAATAAACTAAATAAACTAAATAAACTAAATAAACTAAATAAACTAAATAAACTAAATAAACTAAATAAACTAAATAAACTAAATAAACTAAATAAACTAAATAAACTAAATAAACTAAATAAACTAAATAAACTAAATAAACTAAATAAACTAAATAAACTAAATAAACTAAATAAACTAAATAAACTAAATAAACTAAATAAACTAAATAAACTAAATAAACTAAATAAACTAAATAAACTAAATAAACTAAATAAACTAAATAAACTAAATAAACTAAATAAACTAAATAAACTAAATAAACTAAATAAACTAAATAAACTAAATAAACTAAATAAACTAAATAAACTAAATAAACTAAATAAACTAAATAAACTAAATAAACTAAATAAACTAAATAAACTAAATAAACTAAATAAACTAAATAAACTAAATAAACTAAATAAACTAAATAAACTAAATAAACTAAATAATCTAAATAAACTAAATAAACTAAATAAACTAAATAAACTAAATAAACTAAATAAACTAAATAAACTAAATAAACTAAATAAACTAAATAAACTAAATAAACTAAATAAACTAAATTAAATAAACTAAATAAACTAAATAAACTAAATAAACTAAATAAACTAAATAAACTAAATAAACTAAATAAACTAAATAAACTAAATAAACTAAATTAAATAAACTAAATAAACTAAATAAACTAAATAAACTAAATAAACTAAATAAACTAAATAAACTAAATAAACTAAATAAACTAAATAAACTAAATAAACTAAATAAACTAAATAAACTAAATAAACTAAATAAACTAAATAAACTAAATAAACTAAATAAACTAAATAAACTAAATAAACTAAATAAACTAAATAAACTAAATAAACTAAATAAACTAAATAAACTAAATAAACTAAATAAACTAAATAAACTAAATAAACTAAATAAACTAAATAAACTAAATAAACTAAATAAACTAAATAAACTAAATAAACTAAATAAACTAAATAAACTAAATAAACTAAATAAACTAAATAAACTAAATAAACTAAATAAACTAAATAAACTAAATAAACTAAATAAACTAAATAAACTAAATAAACTAAATAAACTAAATAAACTAAATAAACTAAATAAACTAAATAAACTAAATAAACTAAATAAACTAAATAAACTAAATAAACTAAATAAACTAAATAAACTAAATAAACTAAATAAACTAAATAAACTAAATAAACTAAATAAACTAAATAAACTAAATAAACTAAATAAACTAAATAAACTAAATAAACTAAATAAACTAAATAAACTAAATAAACTAAATAAACTAAATAAACTAAATAAACTAAATAAACTAAATAAACTAAATAAACTAAATAAACTAAATAAACTAAATAAACTAAATAAACTAAATAAACTAAATAAACTAAATAAACTAAATAAACTAAATAAACTAAATAAACTAAATAAACTAAATAAACTAAATAAACTAAATAAACTAAATAAACTAAATAAACTAAATAAACTAAATAAACTAAATAAACTAAATAAACTAAATAAACTAAATAAACTAAATAAACTAAATATTCTAAATATTCTAAACAATCTAAATAATCTAAATAATCTAACTAAACTAAATAAAAGAAATTTAATAAATAGATAAAAAAAAATTAAATTAATTTTATAAAGTATTTTATTTTTGAAACCGACACCACTGGGACAAAGAGAATCTGCTCTGTAAAAAAAATTATATTAAAAAGCTAGCCGAGGTAAGTTGAGGTGTGTTGTATTTTTTTAATTTTTGTTTATGAAGTGTCAGTGTAAATCATAACAATATATAAACTTTCTTCTATACGCCGATGATTTAAAGTTATTCTGTGGTGTCGAAACGGTTGAGGACTGTGAAAGGTTTTCAGATAATCTGCGACGTGTTGAGGAGTGGTGTCTCAATAATAACCTTCTTTTCCTCTTTACTCCTCTAAGTGTTTTGTAATGTCTTATACCATGAATCAATTCCCTTTAACTTTTAACTATAGCGTTAACAACACGATTCTTCAAAGACCGGTTACTATCACACATCTTGGAATTACATTTGATCCCACTTTATCAATGAACAACCATATATAATCAATAGTATTAGCATCGTACAAAATGTATGGATTTATCGTTCGAAACAGTCGTGATGTTAAGGAACCTAAGACACTTAAAATTATTGTATTATTTATTTGTCAGATCTAAACTTGAATATACCTGAGTTGTGTGGAGTCCATTCTATCAATTACATTGATAGAATTGAAGCAGTCTAACGGAGATTATTAAAACTTTTAAGTTTTAAACAAGATGGAGTTTATGCCACCTCATCATGATCTGCTACTTAGACATAAGTTTTGGAGTCTTGATACAAGACGCAAATATTATTTTGTGGTATTGCTATTTAAAACAGTTAATTTCAAAGTTGATTTTTCATATTTGATTCATAGTCTTAATTTTGCAGTTCCTCGAATAGCTTCCAGGTACACCCGTACACTTTACTTGAATACACCCAGAACAAATGTTCTCTTAAAATCTCCTATATACACCATGTGTAATAATTATGAATCAGTAAGTTGCTAGCTTAATTTGTTTTATAGTTCAATTCATAATATTAGGTGTTATTTCTATAATAATGTTTGAAATCTTTAGTTTTGTATATATTCATGAAATGCTAGAAAAAATAATTCTCTTAGCTTTTTTTCTCACCTGCTGTTCAATCAATTAGTATATTATTTCTAAATTAATTGTATTTATATATTCTTGTACTCTTACTCTGTAATTGGGTCTTGACCTGTTGAGTAATGTAATAATAAATAAATAAACTCCTTCTAATGGCGTTGAGTCAGCTGTATGACAGACCTTTATAAAGGCCTTTATAGAAACTATATTTTTCCAGCTTACCCTTTCTGCAATTACTTTATATTTTATTTTCAAAACATGTTATAATAACGCTTGTTAATATTATCATTTGTCCTTTTGTTATACATACCTAATAATGATAATAAAACTATAAAAATACTTAAAATATTTTATTAAAATAATAAATATCGTTAATCAGCACTTATATTAGGTAAAAAAAAAATGTTAACGCATAAACATAACTGCAGGTGTTTCTTGAATTTCACTCTCCGTTTCATATTCTCCATCAACAGCCACCAGAATTATCTCATAATTAACGCAACCGTTGAAATTTTCCAAAATTAGATAATCCTCCTCCAATTCGGGACCAGTTTTGAGATACTCCTTCTCCCCTTTAATTTTGTACTTGACATAAAAGTGTTCCCCAGGGTTATTGTCTACATCGGGTATCCATTTAATTTGCGTGTTAACCAAACAATTCGTGTTAATGTGGATCCAGTCTTTAGGCGTCGTACTAGTTGTTTTTTCTCTTTCGTCTCTGTCGCTCAGGAGATAAAAATCTTCCGGTGAATCCGTCACGTCCATGTCATATTTCGGGATTTGTTTTGTACGTACACATTTGTCTTTGATCATTTGTTTCAAGTCGGTAATGTTGAAATCGATTTTGTATTTGAATGAAGGCATCGATGGCTCGTATGCAACGTGGGTGTCTAAATCGACCTCAATCGTTTTACTGAAATAAAATGGTAAATAATGAGTTAATATTAAATAAATGTATTGGCCAATTATTTCACTTCAAATGATATTAAATTTAATTATTGTGTACCCATTTTGGGTACTTTTGCGGGGTATCTCCGTTATTTTTAAAGATAGAGGGTTTGCGGTTTTCGCGACACTTTGCTACTTTTTTCGTAAAACTAAAGATGCCGTTAACATAATTTTCATAGCCCTGTTAGTTTTTAAGATCCAGGACATTTTTGAAAATGTTGCAATTTGGGACCCTCTCGTATCTCCGTTATCCTTCAACTTATCGAAAAGGTAAAATAATATTCTTATAGATTTTTTCCGTAGAATGCAGTGCACAGAAAAAATAAAATCTTCCAAAAATATATGTATTTTCTTAAAGATTGTTTCTTAATTAAAGATATTCTAACTTGAAAAACACTTGAAAAACACGACAATAGCTATAAATGACGTTCTAAAAGGTTTACAATCGCCTTTAAATGCTCGATTATATGCCGATGATTTAGTTATTTTCCTTAAAAGTAAAGATATCGAAAATCTTGTGAAAATCACACAGAATTTTTTATACAAATTAGAAAATTGGTCCCAAGAAAGGCTTCCGTTTTTCCGAAGAAAAACCCCAATATATTTTATTTTCAAAAAGAAATCCGCCGAATAGAACACAGCTAAGTCTCTATAACAAACACTTACCTGATAAAAATAAAATAAGGTTTCTCGGAATGATAATGGTTCAGAAATTAAATTGGATGGAACATATAAAAAATTTAACAACCGAATGTTATAGAAGACTTAATGTGTTGAAGGTATTATCTAACAATTGGGGATCATATAGACAAACCATGCTAACTCTTTATAGGTTATTGATCAGATCAAAACTTGATTATGGAGCGATAGCTTACTCATCATCCAGTAAATCCTCTCTAAAAGCCTTAGATACGATCCACAATGCTGTACTTCGTATAATATTAGGTGCCTTGAGAACGACCCCGATTGAGTTTGTATTGTGAAGCTGCTGAACCATCCCTCCAGAACAGAACAATGTATTCAAGACTATCACATGCAGTAAAAAGCAATGCAAACCCTAATAACCATTTATACAGTCTCGATAATAGTGACAGATTTTCAACTTTATACGAATTCCTAAGCCTTTTTACAACCAGGTACAAACGGATCTTTCAACCCTTAATGTATCCTTACTAATTGTCTTCCTCTCATTTTTGAACCTCCTCAACCTTGGATAGTAAAACCACCAAATATAATTACCACCTTAGCTAAATTTGATAAACATACAACAAAGACCTAATCTTACAAAATCTAAGAGTTATTCTAGCTAGGTACGCAGATTATACAGAAATTTACACAGATGCCTCAAAATCGATGACGGAGTAGGAGCAGCAGTTGTATCACCGCTTGTGATTCAAAAATACATTTTGCCACTCGAATGTATGCTGCTAAATTGTATGCACTATATCAGGCTACTGCATTAATTAATAGTTCAAACTTACAGAAAGTTGCAATATTAACGGATTCCCTCAGCTCATTACAAACTTTGAAGAGAATATTTCCAACTAACCAGATTGCTGTGAAAATCCAAAAAAATTTACTAGAACTGGAAAATAAAAATAAAAAAGTTATTTTCATATGGATTCCTTCACATATCGGAATTGCTGGAAATGAGGAAGCTCATAAACATGCGTGCGGTAGACTCTCTCCAAATTTTTGATCTTTTAACGAGTGATGCAAAAAAGTTTAATAAAATCAAAAGTGCAAAGTGCGTGGCAAAATCGTTGGAACACCTCTACATCTAAGCTGAAATCAGTCAAATCTCAAGTGAATTCGTGGCAGGAATTACCCAAAGACCGAAAAACACAAGTGATAATGAATCGGTTAAGAATAGGTCATACTAAATTAACACACGCTTATTTAATGAATAAACAACCAGAACCAAATTGTGAAGTTTGTGATGTAAAGCAAACTGTAGAACATTTCTTAATAATTTGCCCAAAATATATCCAAGAACGAATTAAGTGTAATATTTCTTCTACATTAGATCAAGTCTTGGGTCCCAAATGTTCTTTTAAAAATTTATTAGCATATCTTAGAGCAATTAATATTGTAAACCATGTGTAATTTCTTTATTTTAATAAATTAATTGCCTCTCGCTAATGACCCTACAGGGTTGATGCGAAGAAAATAAAAAAAAGAACATGACAATGTTAAAATAAAGAATAATCACGTGTAAGTAAAGGTTTCATATTCTATTAAGCATTTATTCTTAAATTAAATCAATTTATTTTCGTTTTACTTCAATGAAAACCAAAAATGGAAAATTACTTCATTCAAGACAACCAAACAAAATATTCTTGACTTGAAACTGGTCCAGACTTGTTAATTGACTAGACGATATACATACCGTCCTACCTAGAAAACGCAGTACAACGACGTGATTCCTGGCGAATAGGCTGTTGTTATGGTTTTAGGTTTTAGCGCGAGGTCAATGAAATAGATAGTTATATAGATTGATCATCCATATTTGTCAAAATAAACATAAGCTATACTCTGTTTTTAAACTAAGAGGAGCGATTTGAATTTAAGTTGGCAATTCTGTAGCCTTCTGATTGGTCAGATTACAGTCAGTTTCACACATTACTTTTTAGCATGAACATCAGCTAATAATTGATATTGTTGACAGTTCTGACATTTTATAATTTGATATCTCATCCATTACTTAGTTTTTTACTTTATTTCGTAAATAATAGTTCTTCAGTAAGCAATTGTATTGAAAATCTACAATTATGAATCCTTCTACACTGAGTACTATTAAAGGTAGCAATTCCTGAAAAGCCTTACAAGAAAGGGAAGACACCTTATTATTTTACATGCTGATTCTGAAGGTTTTGTAGAAAATGGATTATTGGTTTTTGAAGGTAAAAAGATGGGAGATTACCATGAAGAGATGAATTCCGAAGTATTTTAGAAAAAAATAATTTTATTACTGATTTTTTAAAACTAAAAATTGATGAATTTCTAACCAAAATGATTAAAATGTAACTAAATATTCAAGCAAATTTTATTTATTAGAATAGAATAAAACTATTTACAAAATTGTTATAACATTTAAAACACCATCTACTACTTTAGGGATAATCTTAATTTGGTACAATGAGTTAACATTACTTTCACAAAAAAATATTTTAAAAATAACTAAAAATAATACATAGGTATGTATGAATAGTTCACTTTAAAAAATATATGTTGACATGTAGTGATATGAAAATGTTGGTTCCAGTTTTCAAAACAAATTCTGACTCATAGGCCTGTAAACTTTTGAATGCCCTTATTTGCCCTCTAGCGCATTAACCATGGTTTAACACTAAATAAGCCATAATATCCACATTACTCATAGAAGAGATACCAGTTACTGTGTGATCCACTTGTCATTCACTGATTAACTTTTACTTTTTATACCTATAACAAATATATCCTTAAAAATGTAAACAGATCTTTATATTTTATACTAACCTGGCTACATCTGGATATTCCATTAACAATTTTCTTAAATATTTAATATCCATTTTAAAAAGATCATAGTTATTCTCAAAAAGTCGATTTCAAAAGCAAGAAAAAAGTATTTCTGACATCAATCAACAACCATATTGACTTTAATTTGACAGTGACATTTCGTTTTAAACACACATTTCAGATCACAATAATGTGATCGTTGTCTGGGACCAAATAAAAAATTACTTCTATGACATTTATTCGTTTCTTAACCGCTCATTGGCCGTTCACCGACTAAGGCCGATAAAGATAATTATTTCATAAATTTTGAACACGACTATATTTAGAAACTCGCTCTTAGTAACAAATCTAGTTACTTTTCCCTGTGTAAATGCGTCTTTTCAATTCGCTCCTCCTAGTTTAAAAACAGAGTATAGTAGAGTGTAAAATTGTTTTAATTATATATAGGTATTTAGAAGGGTTTCGCACTCCTTTTACCCCTTAATTAAATACAATGAAATTTGTTTATCGAACTACTGAATATGTTTTCACGATTTTTTTTAACTATTTTACAACTTTATAGATAATCGATTTACAAGAGAATAATTATAAATATGAAGGTATAAAAAATTGTAAACAAATATTCAGTGGTTTAAGATCACTAGAAAAATTTTGTTTGTTTTCACTAGAACCTTCTTTCAAGGGTCTATAACTCACTAATCAAGGCTTTCACAAACAAATAGAAGATAACAAAAAAAAATTCTTAACAGATGTAGGATTTTAGCAGCGTCCTCTTTTTAAGTCACGGTCTAAAAAAGTAGGGGGTCAAAGGGGTACAAACCCTTCCAAAAACCTATAGAATTGAAACATTTTATTGGTAACTGTATTTATCCTCATGTACATTTTCATAAAAATATGTTAAGGCGGTTTACAGTAAGAGCAAAAAAATCACTTTTGAAATTTCTACTTTAACACCTTGTCAATTTTTTACTAACCATTTTTTATAAAATTAACTTAGATTAAATCGGTTTATTTTCTATCCCAGAAACTGTGGGTAAATTTACTATAAATCTTTTTGTTTTATTTTTATTTTAGAGAATTATATAACTATGGACCATTTTTCCTCGTTGGAAGATAATTTATCGAAAAAGTTATGCCCCGCAATTGGAACAAGAGTAGAACATTATTGGGTACAACGAACATTTCAAGGCTCTTAAAATTACCGCTCAGTCAAAGTTCGCAGTAAAATTAGATAACTTTTTTCTGTAACGCCTACTATAATCCATCAAGTTGGCAATAGTGAATATATAGCCCTTCAGGAATAAAATAGTTAATTTATTCGCGATTCAAACTAAGTGATACGCCCTCTAGAGGAAATTTGTAGAAGGTTCCTATGAGTAGGATATCGTCCAGTGTAGCTAGAAGTAGCAAAATTTCGCTACGTTGTCGGATTTTGAAGAAGTGGATAAGACCTTTTATTTAAGAATCAAAATTTGTGTCTAGTAATATGTAATCATACTCAAGCCAGTTCGTCGGCCTTTTCATTGCCTTGATATATGCTTTGTGGCCTAGTACCCCGGCTAAGGTCACTTTGTTTTGACTGCTTAACTCTGTCAGGTCTTCTAGGCAGTCTTTTATCAGTCGTGATTTTATATCTGATGAGATAATTGCCTTTAGAGCTGCTTGGCTATCTGAGTAGATGGCAATAGTTTTGCCAGATATTTGCTGATTTATTATTGTTCTGTACATTGTTGTACGAGTTGGCCGGGAATACTTCTTGCGTATTCTACTAGATTTTACTAAATCATTGTTTTTAACTTGGGTCCAAGGATTCGAGCACCAGTTCCGTCCTTGGTTTTTGAACCGTCTATATACTAGACGAGTTTAGCCTGTATGGGAGGCCCCTCTTTCCAGGATTCTCGGGCTGGTATTTAATATTAAAAATTTCTTTCCGATTTACATGAAGTATCTAATCATCCAGAGATATATGACCTCAAAAATAAATAATACAAGTTGCAAATACCAAAGTAATATACAGGGTGATTCATTACTCATTGGAAATATTTCAACTATAGAATCCTGATCTCGACTTATGAAGATTTAACCCTAATCACCTACATAAAATGTGTCTCCATTCTTAGTTACAGGGTGTTTTGTTTAAAAATTTAAAAATTATTTTTGTCCAGTACTTTAAAGCTATTTAACGTATTGTTACGCTGGTTTTTGGTATCACAATTTATTTCAACTGAACTTTACAATAACTATAATTCAACTTTGACAATAACTTTACAACTGATAACATTCACGTATAACGTCTATCATAAAACTAAAACTCTGACGTCAGGTCGTCGACTTATATAGCTTGTTGACCTTCTCGAACCTTCTAGAAATATCATCTGGAATGTTCTTGACGTGTAATGACATTTCTGGACATTTCTTGAATATTCTGTCTTCTTTTACTTGTACTTTTACTTATGACGACCGCAACACACTGTAGAGCGAGGAGTAGCATTCCACTTCTTTTTCTATCTGTACGTTTCCTATGATAGCCGCAGGCTACTACAGGGTGCTGCGTAATATTGCTTCCTCCTCTCTAGTTATTCGCCCCGAATAACTTATTACTGGGATCTGGTTGAAGCCAACGGGGAGGATCTGAACCACGGTATGGCGCTAACTTCTCAATGTGAACTACCTTGGGTTTACTTCTCGTTGACAACTGAATGCGGTAGATCAGGTCGTGTAGGGGCCTTCCCAGTTCCGTTGCAGCTTCTGACAAAGTCCTTTTCGGCGCTTGGGATTGTACAGCCATACGATCTTTTGTATTCGTATAATATTACCATGAACAGGAACAGGAACACATTAACAATTCTTTTACAACTATTCTGTTATTTAATACAGGGTATTTTATATAAAAAATTGAGATTACAAGAATGACTTTTTCCGTTGACTTCTGCACAAAAAATAACAACTTGCCTAGCGACCGTATTCCTACGTCCCAAAATGATTGTGACGCGCGAATGTTGCGAAACGAGATACCCGGATTGCTCATTAGAAATGTGTCGTCATATATTTGTTGTCAAAATTCCTACACCAGTAATTAAATCCTACAGCCCATTTATTTCATAGAGAATGATTAACCAGGTTAACATGGATTAAACAATTAAAAACAAATAATCTAAATAAAGAAACAATTTGAATAAGAAGAAATAGCAAAAAACACAAAGAACAATACTTTACTTTTTATATTTTCAATGTGACCTCCGTTTACTTCAATAAGTTTATTAATTCTTTCGCTAAACGATCTTCTAACTTTAAAAAATATGTTTGGCTGATTGGCAATAAAATTAATGGAATTTAAAATTTGCTGTCATCGTTCCTGTCGAGTATTTATTGATTGGGAATATACTAGTAATTTCGTATGACCCCAGAAATAGAAATCTAAGGAATTACAATCGGGACTTTGAGGCGGTCACGTAAATTCACCCTAAACAACCTACTAAATTATGTTAAAAAAACGTTTCTGGCTACCATGAGAGGCGTACGACAGGGGCAAGTGACTGGTTAATCCTTCCCAAATTCTACGCCACTGGCGGAATTGCAATTTTATTACAATTTGTAGATTCTGCCACTCGGCAATCCAAAGCGTTTACAATAATAATTTAAAGTTGACTCAATTACAGTAAAACAAAATAATTGTGCCGCTTCATGCTTAACTTAAAATATCTCGAAAAATAATAACTTTATCGTTATGAAGAAAGAGTATAAAATTTACGTAGAAAGTATTGGAGAATCGAAAATTTGTGATAAAATTGCAATTCCACCAGTGGCGAAGAGTTTGGAAAGGATTAACCGTCACTTGTCCCTGTCGTACGCCTCTGATGGTAGCCAGAAACGTTTGTTGGAAACATATTTTATATAGGTGATTTGAATTAAATCTTCATAACTTGAGCTCAGGATTCTATAGTTGAAATATTTCCAATTAATAATGAATCACCCTGTATATGGAATTTTCATTTTCTTCTATACAATCAACTATTATACTATCTATTATTTGCACTGGGGGGAAACAGATGTATGTACTGACGACTCGGTCGCAGCTACTCAGTCACGGTCGCTAGTCGTCAGCGACCGAGGCTAAAAACGTGGCTTTACAACTAAATAAACAGGTCAGGGGTGGAGCATGAGGATCTACTCGCCTATGTCACTTTACCATGTGGTCGTAGGCAAAATATTTTCATTCCGTTAATAAGTTTGTTCCAATAGTACGCTCACAGGCGTTTAGAATGTTATTCAGAACTACCAAATTAAATTATATGCGCAAATTTATAGTTCTAGAATCGCCTTTGCCACTGTTGGAACGATTTAGTACCGATCGATAATTTTGTTTGTTTATTCTAACCTATAAATCACAAAATAAAAACGCTTTTAGAAAACATTGGGCCTTTTATTATATTAGAAAATGTTAAAAAAAACTATATTGAGGCACTACTATCCTTGTTTTCAATCTGTCAAATATAAATAAAAACAATTATTTAAATATAAATATTATGAAAAGTAGCGCCATCTTTCGGATTAGAGGTAAAAAAAATTGGTAAGTGGCTAGTATCCTTGTTAACAGATGTTTTGAGCTAAAACAGTAACTTCACGACAAATTGTGGCTTGCATCATTTTTACACCAAGGGCATCAATTGTTACATGTCTTATTTTAACAATATCGTACAAGAAATTTATCAATTTCGTTTGTAAACTGAACGCTTTTAAACTTTTGTTGGAACAAACCTAATATCATCTTTAAATATTTAAAAAAATCTTACCGTTCACTTTCACCAGCACAATTCACAGCACCAATTTCTACGAAATATTTTACCCCTTCCTTCAGACCAGTGAGTTTTGCTTGAAAATTATCCTCCCCCGTCACAAAATATCTAATCGTCGATTTTTCATCGACAATGTCTCCGTTCATTTCGCTGCAATAAATGTTGTATCCCAAGAGGATTCCGTTTGGTTGTGTGGGTTTGTTCCATTGGAGAAGAACCGAATTAGAACCCAATTGGAAGAACTCGAACAAAAACGGCATATTTGATTCTAAAAAACATAACCAGTTTTATTATATCTTCATGGTGTTTTTCTTCTGCTATAGCTATGATACTATGAAACAAATATAAATAAATACCTAAAGAAATATGGGAAAGAGGGATCTTAAGAGCAAACCTGACCTCTCGCGAAAGCAAAAATGTTTTAAGGATTTTCTAATATAAAATTGTATTTATATGCGTGCCACTGGGAATACTTCGTGATATTACGAATCTTAGCAATATTGAGAGATTTAAATTTGTGCAACGATAAGGCAGCACTCTACAGAGACATTTAAGGAAAAAGGTGGAAAATCATTCCTTTTAAAAACTACTAGATATTTATTGAAACAAAAAGCAGCAAATTTTCATAGATTTAATATAGAATGACTTTTAAATTTCAAAATAAACACTTTTCGAAGGTTTACACAAAATCCAAGGTTTCTACACCTTAAGTTTTGTTATTATAGAAATTTCCTAAAAATTTCACAAAAATTGGACTAAAGATAATGGCTCAGAAGAATTATACATTTTCGAGGTGTTCAGTTTGCTCTTAAGGTTGAATTTCGCCCATATAAATCTGCCGTAAGGATATGTATGCGCAAAATGTGCAAACCCCGTGTATGTGCAAAACCTATGTATGTGCAAAACCCATGTATGTGCAAAATGTGCAAACCGGTATTTGGCTGATGACCCCAGTTAATGACCCTGTCTAGACATATGTAATCGGTTAATAACCTGCTGTATTTAAACCAGTTTGACCGGTTGATGGCATCGAGACTAAGCAAGTAAACGACAGTAGAAAAAAGACCAACACCACCATTTTACTTTTAAACAAATTTGTATAATTTGGTGCACATCCCCTCTATCCATGAGATTCGGTATAAGTAAATAACATTTATTGTGAACACAGTAGTACAAAATGTCTTCAAATCGTAAAACTGATATGTTTGTTGGTTAACAAAAATTTTATTTGAATGATTCAAAAAGCAAACATGTGATAGTTTGTGTCACATATTAATAACTTTGCACCGTGTGTTGTGATATCTGGAAACATTAACGATTCAGTGATCTTTAACGGAAAGGAATGGCAAGATTTTCTCTATTACGAGAACGTAATTAATGATTTTCTAAAATCATACAAACCCAGTTGAAGAATTTTTAATGAGCTGGTAAAATGTTGACCTTTTAATGTGTCCAAATGATGTATTATCAGTGGAAGAATATTCCTAATGCTCATAACACTATTTGATCCCAAATAAACGCTGGAATCGCCAGTAAATATTCTAATGGCATTTGCTGCAAAAAACTGTTTGAATTCCAAAAAAAATTCCCATTATCAATTGCAGAGGTTACTTTAAATGTAGCTTTCGTGGAAAATATACTTTCGGACAGTAATTTTAATGAGGTTAAGAATTATACAAAATAAATCAATATAAAAATTCAAATTAGGCTTAGCAAAGCACACATCATGGCGACATTGAACAATAGTACTTTTTTAGTGAAAACTCCCTAGTTTCGTATTTTAATGCAAGAAATGTCAAAAAGTGACCAAGAAAAAACTAGGGGAAATATCAATTGTCCCCCCTTCCTCCCCCCAACGAGACGCTTATGATCGCAATTGAACAATTGTTACTATTGCTTTTTTTTTTTTTTTTTTTTTTTTTTTGAGAATTGGCATCTAAACATAGTTTTTGTTGCCACAGACTTTTGTAAACCGAATAATTTTTTGTTTATTTATTTATATTTTAATATTTTCTTTAATTAAAAATTCAATAATTAAGTTATATATTTTCTCATTAAATGAACTTAATAAAATAGAAATACTTGATGGAAAAAGGATATTCAGGGAAGAAAGTTTTTTAAGAAAATCTGAACGATGAGAATTATGGTGGCTTCAAGAAAAAATGAGATGGTTGATATCAGCAAAAGAAGAATTGTCGCATTGACAGAAAAGTGGTACAATAATACCTACACATTTTAAAATTTGTAATGTGGGGAATAGATTTTGGAAGAACAGGGTGAATAAATGTATATGGGTTATTTGAATGAGAAACAAAGTGTTCCCAAAGTTTCTCTCAGCTTGATCTAATATTTCGTTTCATTGTATGAATAATATCCTGCGGAGAATGAATATTACTAATAGTTGGAAGAAGAATGGATTCTTTAGCAGCTAAATCGGCTTTTTCATTTCCAACTATCCCTTTGTGACTTTTAACCCAGATAAAAACGATCTTGATTTTAGAATTATGAAGAGTAAGGAGAGACTGAATAATTTCTCTTATAATAGGATTTTTGTTAATATTACAGGAATAGTTAGAAATTGAAAGTAAAACAGATTTCGAGTCTGAAAGAATAACCGATTTGCTTTCTCCATAGCTTTTTATCCAATTGAGTGCTTGTAAAATTGCAAAAGCCTCCGCTCTATAAACAGATGAATAATTTGGTAAACGAAATTGGGAAATAAAGTTTTCATTTTCCACATAAAAAGCGCATCCTGTACCTTGTTTTCCTTTAGACCCATCGCAAAAAATAGTATTAACTGTATCTAGCGTTCCCAATACCGATTTTATGATTATTTTATTCATTTTAGGGGAAGAAGTAAACTCAGGGAATAAGATTGTTGGCTTGAACAATAAGGAGAAAAAATTAAACTGGTATATAGGAAGAATATCGTAAGACTCAATTTTATTTAAAAACTGGTTTAAAGATACACAGGCTTCAGCCAAAGGTGGACTATTTTTAAATTTCCAATATTTGTTGGTTAAGTTTTCAATTTTCAGGGTAAAGGAAGAATTCAGAATTTTTTCCGAAAACATTTTAAATGTAACTAACTTTTTGCATGCTAGAAAATATCTTCCGCAAGAACCGCTGGAGTAGAGGAAGATTTAAAAGCACCGAGACATATTTTGACTGCTTTAACTTGCATACAGTCTAATAACTTAAGGCTTGAGTTCGCAGCTGATCCATATAATATGCACCCATAGTCGATGATTGATCGGATGTAAGATCTATAAAACATTAACGACGTTGTTGTGTCTGCACCTCATTTAAATTTTGTGACACATTTAAGAATATTAATGCCTCTTTCACATTTGGATAAAGTATAATCAATATGTTTTTTCCATGTAAGCTTATTGTCTAAGACAATTCCTAAGCATTTGAAGGAACTTACTATTGGAAGAGATATTGAATTAAACTTAATGACTTCTCCTGTTATCAGCCTGTGACGGGTATAAACCATCACAGCTGATTTATTTGCAGCCAAAGAGAAACCATGATCAAATAACCAGCCTGTAAGGCAATATATGACATATTTAAGATCTACAACACAATCGTGATAAGACTTACGGGGTATAAATACATACATCATCCGCGTACTGAATACACTTAATCGGTTGATCAAAGATCTCATGCAAGCTTGCTGTGTAAATATTGAAAAGAAAGGGACTCAGAACGGATCCTTGAGGAATACCCTGGTTGACAATTCTAGGGCCATGCAGAAGGTTATAGTGATCTCTGATATATACTTTTCTGTTTCTAAATAACTCAATAATATTGACAGAGGCGTTTGTATCAAAACCGTAATAGGAGAGTTTTGTTTGTAAGATGTTCAAATCAACTGCGTCATATGCCCCTTTAAGATCTAAAAAAATACATGCTGTGTATTCATTTTTTGAGAATGAATACTGAATATCATTAACTAACTGAGTATAGGCGTCTAAAGTACCTTTAGACTTACGAAATCCGTACTGCGAACTAGGTAACAGAGAGTTATGTTCAAAATACCATTCTAAACGTAGTTTAATAATTCTCTCAAAAGTTTTAGCAAAACACGATAACAGAGAAATTGGACGGTAAGACGATGGATCGCTAGGGTTTCTCATTGGTTTAATAATAAATATAATTACCACTTCTTTAAAAGATTCAGGAAGAAGTCCTTGTAACCACCATTGATTATAAATTTCAACTAAGACACTTTTTGAATTGTCTGGTAAATTTCTAATCAAAGAATAAGAAAAGCTATCTTTTCCAGGAGCTGTGTTACAAGTGGTTTTAATTGCTAATTCTAATTCAGTTAAAGTTATTTTAGAATAAAGATTATTTTTATTTCCCAGTTCCCTATTATTTACCAGCTGAGGAATAAAACTTGGATCAACAAATGGAGGAGCAATATGGTCAAATAATTTTTCTATTAGATCTGGAGCCAGAACAGTTTTTTTATTATATTTATTTTTGTTTGAAATACTTTTAATATATCTCCATACTGAAGATATTGGAGTATTTTTGTTTAAACTACTAACAAATTTTGTCCAGCTGTTCTGTGCTTTTTGTTTGAATATCAGCTTAATTTTGGCCTGCAGATTTTTATAAAAAATAAAATTGTCAAAATTCGATGTGTGACTATAGTTGCATAAAGCTATCTTTGTACTCTCAACTAAATCGGAACACTCAGAGTCCCACCATGCTGGAAGGAACCTTGAAGGAGTAAAAGGATTGTTTCTGGGCATAGATAAATCAGCAGCTGCCGTGACAGCTTCAATGAAAATTGGGAATGAAGTGGATTCGGATGATGAAGAAGTAAAAATATTGTCCAAATATGATTTGAAGGAAATCCAGTTAGCCTTTTTTTCGTAAAACATCTAGTATTCGGTCAAGTTTGATCTTTTCAAATGTCTGAATTTTGGAGAATAAAAAGAAACAGATATTTTTATTTAAACTGTTGATCTCTAGCGACCAAACGAAGCAAGTTGGTATATAGGTAAGTTTGGTTATTTTGAGCCCACAAATCTGTGGTAGCTCTATATAAACGCAATTTCTGTATATATAATATAGCAGTATATTTTGCTGTGTGCTACTTTCGTGTTGCACCATAATAGACCTGAAATAGACGCAGATACAGATAAAAGAAATATTATCAATAATAAGAAGAAAGTGAAAGTCATAGAAAGTTTAAAAATTTCCAATTTGTCTTACTACATAAATATTATTTCAGAAAAGTATAAAATACATACACAGCCGGTACCATGAACGTACATTTAAATGTATGAATCTGATGAACTTTGACAGAGTGGAGAATGTGATATGTATAAACAATATAAATTTTAATGAACGTTCTTATAAGTAATTAATGTATTTATTAAACTTACCAGTTTGAGGTGCATCAAAACTAACAGCATTACTTCTCGGGCCGACATATTTATCGTTTCTCACGGCTACCGTAATGAAGTTTTTCGAGTACGGATAAAATTGAACAGCTGTTCTAGTGATTCCAGGAGGAATGGCGTATACTTGACTCCAAACGTGGTTCCATATCCTTACTAAGTACCCTTTAAATGTTCCCCTTACGGACGACGGGTCTATGGCGTCCCATTCTACCGTTACGTCCTTGTCTTCAAATGTTAAGAATGTCAGATTTGCAGGTGGCTCCAATGGGATCATTTCCTCTAAACAAGTTTAAAATAGTAAACAATAAATAAATATTCTACTATGTTCTGATATTGGTAACACCAACTCTCCGATAGGTTGGTAATTACCTTTGTATATAAAAAAAAAATATTTATAAAATTAGCTGGGAAATATTATAAGAAACAATAACAATTTCAAGCAAACAGTAAAAACATAGTATATCGTGCAACAACGACATTTTTTCGACGCTATAGACGAGTGCATTGTAATGAAGTCAATTTTCATTACTATATTTCGGCCTATTCCGGATATAAATTTCAATTTTTATTTTATTTTAACTTCATGGGTAGACCCTGTATATCAAATTTTGTTTTATTTAAATTCGCGTATTATACCTGAGTAACGATAGCGCGCGCGATCCGCGCAGATCGAGTGGGAGCTAGCCTGCTTGGGCATAGAGACTCGGATTCAGATATTATTATTAAAAATCATTCAATTGACTTTACCGATTCGACTAACTTCCGCTGCTTCTGCTTCGATATACGCCGCTGTAAAATCATCGCCGAGTCCGTAGTTAGGTACACCGAATTTGTTTACGTTTTTTTTTTCCTGTCGTCCGTTCTTGAGCTAAACGTTCGAATACCAGTTTTATTTGACTAAATTATTCCGATTTCGATTTTATTTAATAGAAATAATAATTGACTTTAGATTTTCGTTAAAAATATTTTGATTTACAGATAAATTATTTAGTTTTGATTTTATAAACATTGGAAATTAGTTTTGGTTATTAAGCGGCAGTTTCACATGGCAGTTGAGTGCTATAGCAGCGACTGTCAGGTAGGATTGGTCACACTGTTAGCTGTGAAACTACCACTGTTATAGAAGCTGAATGTTATACAAGTTACTGTTATAACTAGAAATATTTCAACTTTTTGTTATAGCAGTCGTATTTAGGTTAAAATAAAATGGCGAAATTTGTTAAAACTATCAAACGCATTGCGTTCTCAGATGAAAAAATTATAGAATTAATTGAATTATATCGGGAAAATGAATGTCTTTGGAACATTAAGCCTGCTGAATTTAAAAATTATATTAAAAGAAAAGCTGCAATTACTGATATTGCCAAAAAATTGTTTGTCGAAGAGGAAATAATCAAAAAGAAAATAACTTCAATACGATCTTTTTACTTGATGGAAAAAAAATAAAATTTCGGATAGTCACAAAACAGGTTCTGGTACAGATGAGTATCCTGCTTTGCAATTAAAGGTCCAACCTAAAATTTTTTACTTTATTGTTGAAAATGTACAAGAATTATAACATACGTACCTTCTCGTGCAGTTCTAAAAATTTTTCGTAAGGTAAACGAGTAAAATTTTGAAAATCACCTTCTACATTTAACAATTCAGTTAATAAATTATTGTCCATGTCAAACTGTGGCCTGTTTAATAAAGGTGACTATACCCAGTACCTTTTCTTGCTATATCTTCTTCGTTTGGCTTCAAGATTTTTCTTTAAATTTTTTTATTGGCTAATAAACAAATAATTGCACAATTTAACAGTTCTTTTTTAGTCGGCACCATTTTGAAGCAAGCGATTAAACTCACTTTGTGAATCAGGTGTAACAGTAAAACTATCGCAATAGGAGTCACCCCCACCAAACAGTACAATTGTTATAGCACTCAACTGCCATGTGAAACTGCCGCTTTAGGAAGTAAAATTTTGTTTCTATTTTATTAATTACTTAATTTTTATTGCGACCGTGGATTGTGTTTCTATTTCAGAGTAATAGTAAACCTAATTTCAATTTAAATTCCGTATACAGTTAATTACTTAATTTTCATTGCGACCGTGGATTTTTTTTTAAGTAATAATAAATTTAAATTTAAATTAAATTCCGTATATAGTTAATTACTTAACTTTTACTACTATTTGTTCACAATTTGTTCACAATCTGGTTTAACTTTTTTTTATTATTTATGTTTCTTTACTTGGGAATAGAATTAGTTCGAAAGTTGAAATAGTATCATTTTTCATGTTGAGTGGACTGGTTTTGGCGAGAAAGCTCACATGGGATTAGATACTATCCCGGTTTTAGATTTTTTTTAGATTAACCCCTAGCCGTGATTAAAATATTAGTGTTTTTCTTATGTTTGAGATTGCTGGTTTTGGCGAGTAGACTCATCATAGGATAAATACTGACCCGGTTTAATATTTTGTTTTATGTTTGAGTGGGCTGGTTTTGGCGAGTACACTCATCATAGGATTGAATGCTAACCCGGTTTTTGATTATTTTTTTTTTATACCTCCGCGCCGTGATTAAAATGATAGTCTCATTTTTATGTTGAGCGGGCTGGTTTTGGCGAGTACACTTCTCATAGGATTGATACTATCCCGTTTTTTTATCATTTATCTATTCCCTATTCAATAACACAAGGAGGTTTGTTTCAGTTTCAATACCGACTAGATAGTTAACCAGATAACTTTTTCTACGACCGTGATTTTATTTCTACTTTTACGAAACAAAATATTTAACTTCAATTTTTTTTACCGATTTAACAGTTAACTAGTTAACTTTTGCTACGACCGCAATTATTTGCCATTTTTCTTCTTTAACTAAAATAGTAATTTTGTTTTTGATTTCGTTTTGGCTCAACCACCGAACCGACAATTTATTAATTAGTTACCGAACATCTTTCTTTTAATTTTAATTATACCGTCTGATTGAGACTAATCAAAGCTGATCTGTTTGTTTTTCTTTTTGTTCAGGGTTTTAAAAATACGAGCGGGGGTGGGCGTTGAAATATTTAATTTCTTTCTTTTTATTGTAAATAGTTAACTACAATATATGTGTCAATGTTAACCTGCCGTATTATTGGTTAATAATTCCCTAGTTTATTTCCCCCTTATATTTCAGCTAGTGATAAATTCCGTACGAGCCCAAGCAACGATTAAAGCCCGTTACTTGTGGCCTACTATTACCTGTGTCTAAGTGACCTTTGACCCCTGGAATTTTTCATCTCTATCTGTAGCTACCCGAGTACTTTCGACGCCGTTTCGAAAGTTTGTGGAGTAAACCATTATCAAAAATCTGGCGCCCGAGAGCCGTCCCGTCAACAGGCGTCATTTGTAAGTAATCGTTTTCTCTGAGGCGAGAAAACCCCTTACAGCATATAGAATTTATTCGAAAAGCGAGTGACAAAAGGGTTTTTTAACCGACTTCAAAAAAGGAAGAGGTTTTCAATTCGTCGGTATATTTTTTTATGTATGTTTTTTAACACGGTGTCCATTCATTTAGAAAAAAAAAATAAAAAGAAGAATTGACAGTTATCTTAGAATTATCGCATTGGCTGACTGTAAGATCTTAAGTTGTTAAGTTAAAAGTTACCGAACTTTCTACCCTAGACTAAGTTCTTGAGTTACGTTACGAACATTTATAAATAAGTATATGTAAATTCATTATTTCAACTTCTTACGTTAAGTTTTTAAGTTACGTTACGGCGGTTATAAATTAAATTTTAGTCTTAAAATATTGCTTATACATAATTACGATGTTTTTAAAACGTTCTTGAGAAATCATTCCAGAAACGTTTCTTTAGAAACATCGTAAGTGAGGAACATAAATAGGACCTAAATGGGATGTTTCTGGTAGATCAGTGTTATTAGGGAATAATAAAGAGGTTCTTTCGCCACCAATGTTAAATAAAAAATATTAGATTATGGTTAAAATTAATTTTTTTCTAATAGTTAAAGTCCTTATTTATCTAATAGTGAACTTTTAACTATACCTTACCGTGCAAATTTTTGAGAATTTTTTTTAAATGTGAGTATTTGTACAGTGTCTTACGAGAAAGTAAGACCTCAACAACAATTTTCGAATTATAAGTATACTATTATTTATTGATTAGATGGAGTAGAAAAAAACTAAAAATAAGGTTTTTGAAATATTTAGGTTTTGTTTCTTACAATAAAATATATAGGTTACCGTGGAATTTATTGAGAAATTAATATTAAAAAATCACAAAAAATGTTCAACTAGGTTACTTGAATTTTTTTTTAATATTAATTTAAAAATAAGTTGAGGAGCTGTCTCCTTTTTTGCACCGAACTGAAGTAGGGGACAAAAATATAATCTTTTATTAGTATATTCCACTAAAAAAAGAATACTATAAAAATGGTGCTGCCTCCTTTTTGCACCAGTGTCTTCAATTGGTAGATTACCTAATGATAGATATCTACAAATACGCGGTGTTGACAAATCTTTCCCACCAGACTAACTTAACTGAGAACATAAAATAAAAGTATGATTGTGTATATTATTTTGCTGAACGACTTTTGCGATATAATGGACAACATATGGAGGTTAAAGAGTGTAGCTACATTTACGTAGGAAGGGATCAACTAAAATTCAAATTTAAATCATGTTATCAAAAACCGGAACAGGTGTGGCATCCTTAAGATCTTAGTTTTTATATTGTTTAACGAGCTTTTTTAATTAGCTTTTATAATTTATTATATTAAAATGACAGTTCTCTTCCAGATAATTACTTAATGTTTGAAATTTCATGGCACACATTGGGAATGATCACTTTGTGTTATCAGATAAGGATCTGAAACGAATATGTGTTATCAGAATTATCAAATAAAGAAATGTACCTCATTTCTTGATCAACGATAGCTGAGAAAGTATAGGAAAGAATATTGTGCGTTCGCCTTATATTATAACGATGTTCGTGTGGTAAGAGCTGAATTTTGTTTTGATATATTATAGATAAAAATAGTTTTTGTAAGTACAATTCTTTATCTGGTCTATTATTTATAATTAATCTGTTGAAAATATAATATTTGTGTAGAACATGATTTTATAAAACAATTATTTACTCCTCCTAAAGTCTAGTAAGACAGTAGTCATTCTACTATACAGATTATACATTTCATTTAAAACATCTTTTCCTCTGCTATACTTACTGTCAGCCACACACCCAAAAATCACAAACCCCAAGACCGAACACACCACACCATTCCTCCACATTTTAGGAGTCGATTCGTTAAGAAAATCAAGAAACCACTAAATAATCTCTCCCAATCTGGCGAAGCGCAAAGTCGCCTTCTCTTTATTTCATAATCAACAATTTCCTTCAAGTTTTTATTATTTAATTCGGAAATCGTCATTTCGTGTATGATGTAGTCATACATTTAAACCGTTTTACAACTACTCTAGAGATACCTGCGTGGGTTGGGGAGTAGGTATAAGTAGGAATTTCATACTTTGGCATTGGCACGAGACTCGCTCGAGTCTCATTAGATTAGTTTAAACATAATAAATCTATGAATGGGAAACAAGGGTCATTCAATGTCTAGTACTAACGAAACTATTTATTAATCTTAAACAATAATAATTTTATCTATATAGTGCAACAACCTTAATCCATAGGTGCCGACATTTTTCGGATCGATGATGTTGGAAGCCATTCTTTTTACAATTCGCGCGAAATCGCTTGCAAATGTAATCGTAGCCTTAGTATAAACTGTGAACCTCGTTGTATAATCATCGATTATTGTTAAACATAGTTTTAAAAATGACTATTGTACTTTGAATATAACCAGTTAAAAATTAAACTCATGTTAGCTAAACCGAGTTTACAGCATTCTTTGACAACCAACCTTAAGGACGGGTTGTAAAATAGACAGTTGAAATGTAATCTTAGTTTAAACTGTGAAACTCGTTATATAATAATCGGTTAGTGTTAAACATTTGTACGTTGAATGTAACTAGTTAAAAATTAAATCCCTATTAGCTAAACTGAGTTTACAGCATTCTTTGTACAACCCGCCGTAAAGGTGTTATTATTTACCATTTACAATATTTTAAAAGAATAATTAAAATCGCGGTAATTTTGGTCGATTTCAAAATAACTAACTTTTTTTCAACTATTAAAGATGTTTTTTTATTTACAGGTACAACAAATAAACAACAATCAGCAAGGGATGTACATACAACCACCACAAATGCTTCATGACAACAATCAGTTATTGTCACCAATACTGCGAACAGAAGCTGATTTTCTAAGGCCTGGAAATGTCAACATTAACCCCAGGTTAGCCTAAAAAGTTTTAAAAGAAAATATTCATTCTGAATCATGAATCCTGAATTAACGGCCTATTTGATAAATAAATTAATTCACAATTTGGTTCATACATTTTTATTAAATAACTTCCAAAGTAAAGCATTTATTTGGCGGTAGTCCAAAGAACTAAATATACGAAAAACTGTTTGCAGTAGCGTAGTTATGGAGAAACAGTTACACTTTTTATGATACTTTTATAACGAGTCTGTATTATGCTGGACGAAAGAAGTGACTATTTTATTTGGTATTTATGAAACTTGTCATTATATAACTGGTTTCGCCCTCTTTGGGACTCTTCAGAGAGCAGCAGAAAGCTCATGTGGAATTTCTAATACCGCTGAAGATGGAAAAATCGTTAAAAATAATATATATATTTTTTTTTTAATTAATTGTTCTTAAATATATTTTTTTGAATATTAATTCTTAATAAAACTGCCATTCAATTTAATGTTTAATCATTTTAATATTTAATGTAGATTTAAGTAAAATATAGTCTCCAAAAATGCCAATATTTTGAAGTTAGATATCGAATAGGGCTATGTTACACATATCTTTGAACAGAAAAATATTGTAGGCATGCATTTCGGTAGTATTATTGTCTCGCTTCCACTGTAAATATCGTTTACTCCCTAAATATGCGTAAACAACTGTAAGGCTTCGTTTCAATAGTAAAAAGGTAATTTGTAAAAACAAATATTTTTTTTTAAATTCGATAAAAATAGTTGCGATTTAATACTTCCAAATTCCTTTAAATATGTATTAAAATCGATTATATAAGTTTAGGCAAAAGTCAAATTTATTGTTTTGTGGAAAACAAATGGAATGATTTATCTGCACATCGTTTCACTGTCTAGTATTATTGTCATTTCTAAAAAGATTAATAACTGCTGTCTCCAGTTTTATTTTGCTTTTTCTCAATTTTTTAGATTATCATCGTATGACGCCCCCGCTTTGCAGCCCTACATGCCTCAGTTGCCCCCACAAGGGCAAACCAATTGGATGCCGCATCAAACAAATCAGATGCCTCCGCAGATTACTCAGTATGCTGGTAAGTAATATTCTAATAAATCTGTTATTCAATATTTTGACCTTGATTTAATCATCCAATGGACGGTCTGTTGTATTTGTAACAAGCAGATATAATAAGTGAAAAAATGCACTAATAAATCACTTTCTTTATATGAATAACATCTTCAGTGTTTTATTTTTAATTTTTCAAATTTTCCTTGCCGAACACTGATTTTGTTAAGAAATTTCTTGTGTTATACCAGTATCAGTCCTAAATTAATTGAAACATATTTTGGGTAAAAGGCAGTGGCGTAGCGTATACTGGACCGGGGGGGACGGTCCCCCGCCATTTGGCGCATTCGGCGCACCTCACAGAGGTTCGTGCGCTTCAGAAAAGCTTCGTCCCCTCCGCCGTTTGGCCCACGCTACGCCACTGGAAAAAGGATGGACCGGGAGCTAATGTCTCAAGACCATAGATAGGGGAAAGTGAATAGATGGAAAAATTCAATGGTAAAATTTTGCATAATAAACAATCGGCAGGCTAACTTGTCTTGGCGGCAACGCTACGCGCACATCTACGCGCACACTGCCATTTTGGGGTCTAACCTCTCAATCAAGCCAGTGGCGTCACTGTCGTCGTTTATATCGACAAAAACAAACAAGTTGCAGTAGCACGGAATCAGTAGCGTGTATCTTAAATTTATTTTGTTTGTGATGTTTGTATTATGTAGTTATTGTTATTTTTTTAGAATTATAGATATTTTTCGACACTTTTTATATAGTAGTTGTTTTCCAGTGTTAATTTGTTAACTTTTAAGTGTTTTACTATGTCTGGGCAAAGTTGTGCAGCAAAAAACTATATGAATAAACTGTATTAAAAGATTTTTTCGGTTTCTTAAAGATCTTATATTTACTTATGTAGGTATATTATTAAGATTTAAAGTAAAATGTTATATTTTAAACATCTCTCATATGGAGTTGACAAAATGGAAAAATCTTTATTTTTATTTTAAGGAAAAAGTCATTATAAAAAAATTCTGTTTGACGAAAAAATAGGTGTACATGGTCTTAAAAAAATGAAGAAACTTAAAATTGACAAAAGGAAAAAATCTGTATTACCTTATTGATTTTACGAAGAAAAGTCACAGTTTTCCTTTCGGTTTTCCTTCATAACTTTAAAAGGAAACTTTTTCTTGTAATTTTCTTCAACAAGCAGAATTTTTTGTATGGAATAATTTTTTTTTCTGAAAAAAAAAATGAATATTATAATTGTGTTAATCCCAAATATTGAAATGCTTAACAAAAATTTAATTCTGATATTCATTTTGATAATTATTCTAGATATGCGAATAACAAAGCTTTATAATCTTGATAAATCTAAAGTATTTTCATTACAAAAAGCAAGAAAATCTTAATTAGCCATTAAAGAAATTATGAGTAGTAAATTAGTAATGAGTCACAATCAAAATCATGTGTTTTAAGCAGTGCTATTAAAAATGTAAAATTCTTATATTTTGTCGAAGTAAATTCAAAAGCCCGCCAATTTTCAAGCTAAAATAGCATTACATCTTTCTATATTACCGACTGAGTATTAATTGCACAAAACTATTAGGCATTCCAAACTGAATGGCTACCAGTGGGTTTTAACAGGTTGTATGGCAAAATTATGGCAACCCTGTTGGCCTGGTGATTTGACAAGGTCAATGAAATAGATAGTTAAATAGATTGATTATCCATATTTTTCAAAATAAATATAAGCTTATGCCTTGAAGTAAAAAAGTAAGCGATTATTTTTTAAATATCTAAAGGCTGAAAATTTGTTTTCAGCAAACCGTAAAACAAACACATTTTTGCTAAACCAATTAAAATTAATAAATATTTGCCGGGCAATATGGCCGCTCGCAAACGACCAGCTTTGAGCAATCTATATAACTATATAGGTATCATTGACCCTGTTAATGACAACAGGGTTGCCATATCTAAACTGTCAGTACCCACTGGTAGCCATTTGGACAGGTCGTTGGAATGCCTAATTCCATATGTCGCTGAAGGTAAACATGCTGCCAAATTTCTGTGAGGAATCTGCAACTCTTAATTATCCTTCCTCCATGATGGTAACTGTGTAAACCCTACATCGGTCCAAATTCAAAGAACGTTCAAAAAATTGCAATGTTTAAATTTATTACATTCTGGAACTGAAAACTGCGAAACAGGTGGGGATGCTTTACTTGTAAGGCTACATGAAATTCGTAGGACTAGTAAGGATGAGCCATTTTCCAAAATTGCGTGTAATGGTGGCAATATTGTCGAAAATGTAAATATAAACAAGCATATTAATGAATTGCATGCACAAAATATTAATATTTTTTAAGAAAATTTTATTATATATGCGGATTTTTAATAAAAAAAAGTCTTAAAATTCAACGTTGCGATGTATGTACACAATATGCCTTAACACACGAAGACTTGGATATAAGCTCCATGTATTGTTATTATAAAGCATACAAAAAAAGCAAATAAAGATATTTTTGGCAATTTAAAAATGTCAAATAATAGTTTTGTATGTTTAATAACAAAAATTGAAATAATTTTTCATCACAATTTTGAATTATTTATCACTAAATCCGGCGTTTGTAATTTTTTTTTAGATTTAATTAATTCCGAGATAACATTTGATGCTCCTTGTCCCCGATTTCCATAAATATATGTCATTAAGGGTCGATTCCACCGTTGTGTTAAACGGAGATTAAAATGACATTGTTAATGTAAAAATGTAATTTTAAACTTCGTTTAACACAACGGTGGAATCGGTCCTAAGTTATTATTAAGGCTGCTCATATATTTCACTTTAAAAATATTAATAGAAATTTTAAGACCATCAATAAAAACAAGCTAATTATTTGGCGCAATCTGTGAAGCTTTTTTGTTTTAATACGATCCTGCCTATCAATACCTTATTTTATTACAAAATCTTTAAATACGCTTTAATCCGAACTTGACTAAGACACCCGAATGGCGTCGTCAAGGTCAAATTTTCTTAGTATAATTTGTATGCGATCAGCGGAGAGTGGGCCTGCCGATTGTTTTTTATGCCGTGCTAGCGTATTAGAGTGGTCCTAAATATGGCCGCCAGGGGCGGGCTTTTTAAAATTTAACTTTCTGCTGGCTGGGAAAAAATGTAATGAAGAAAATCAAACAAAAAGATAAATTGAAAAAATTTTTGACTAGTTTCAAATCGTAAAACAAACCATATTGACTGTTTATATTTTGAAACTAGTCGAAACATTTTGCCAATTTATATTTTTATCTGATTTTACTTCATTATATTTTTGCATTAATTTCAAATTTGAAATAAAAAGCAATTTATTTAATTTTTTTTTATTACAGTAAATTAACGCCGTATCATATAATTTGTCTATTTAAACATGGAAATGCTCAGACAAATATACATGTACATCATTTAAATAATTAAATATTTATAAAACAAACCTATCAAAAATGGGTTTTATAACAAAATCAGCATGTATAGTGCTCAAACCTTTATAAAAGTTTTGAGACTTGAAGTGGCAAATAAGTTTGAAAAAATTGAAGTTGAAGCATCGTCCTTTTGGTGTCTTACTATCAAGGCAAATTTGAATGTGGATAAAATTTTCCATAAGCTTATTGAGTTGACTAGTTAGGTTGAGGAGCACTTCTTCATCCGATAATTGTTTTATTCATTTATTTGTACGGCACTTGTAGTTTATCAAATTCTTATTCATCACCTGGATACTTGGGGTAAGTTTTCTTGTTTGATGTCAATGGCATTGAATCAATTTTTGATATTGATGGCTGAGGCTCACATATTTCATCGATTTACAGGGCATTTTGAAGGCCCAACATTTTCTTTACAATAACAATGATCATTTAAAAACTGAAAACAATAAAATAAACAAATTATTTTAACACTGAATCAAAAAAAAAGTTTGTAAATATAACTTACCATTGGTGCCAAACAGTGCAAGATGCTTTTTTCTTAAGACATTTATTACAAATTGTTTGGTTATCCTTAATATGACGACCGCATATTTAATATGTGGTATAAATTGCATCACTATCAACATCTGGGAGTGGTTTATTGTTCGTTGCTGAAACCCATCTTCCCATCGTTTGAAAACATGCTTAAAATTGGAATCCAATTCACCTTCAACTGCAACAGCCATTTTATTTTTAATTTTAAGTTTGAAGTTTTGCTGACAACTGACATTTCGATACGAGCGCCATCCCGTTAATTTGAGTTGTACTAAATTACCTTCCTCATGTTTTTCCATTTGAGTTACCAGCCCCTGCTCGTTTAAACAGAAATATTTGAAAAAAGACAAAAATTTACTTCTTTGAAGTCAACCTTTCCCAGTCAGTTTAGTGTTTAGATTGACCCAACGTACTCTATTATAAAATACACATCTATAAAATAAACTTCCTTATGAATCTTCGGTAGTACGTACAGAGCCGACGGAACCTTCTTATTTGATTTATATAAATAAACATTTTCCTTGGTTTTATCGGTTAAATGATTTTATTTTTATTTGTTTAGCACACTACATATGTTTCGGAAACTAAAAAATTTTTTTTCCATCTTTAGGTGCAGTCAATTTATAAAATTATAGGGACGAATACAAACAGTTTAAAACTTTTTTTAAAATAAAAGAAAACGCCATCACGCCAGTTCACATCATCGTTTGAAGGTGTATTCCAAATAATCTTTCTGTACCAATTTCCAATTGAACCTGGATTTTCGCATGGATGTTGGCCCTTTCATCTTTCCGCAGTGGCAATCTTGTTGGTAGAAATTTCTTACGATTATTTATGGTTGTTGGTCGTATAATGGTCCTAGTTGCTCCAGTGTCAACCAACAGTGTATACTTTTTACCATTTACTTCGCCGTCTACGTATACACTATCATCGCGATATTTCAAAGAGGGTATCAATCAGTATAAAATGGTCTTTGGAACGGTTTCGGATCGAAACTGCCATCTTTAGGCCGACTCGCTCTAGTTTTCCTGCGGCGTCTTATCTTTAGTTGTTGGAACCTAGGACGTTTGCACGAACTGCGTACATGTCCCAATTCACCGCAATTCCAGCACCTGGTGGTCTTTGTCTTCATCTTTTTATCAGTAAAGCTCTTCATTATGTTAACTAGTTGTTCGAGTAATAAATATCTCTTTGAATTTTGGGCGGGAGTGGATGATGTTTTTTCTCCACTGAAAACAAGAGCATTTCGTATATTATTGCCATTTTCAACATTCTATCGTGACTGAATATAGACAAAGAACTGAGAGTGGCTAAAAATATGCAGAAAAGTCTTAATAAACATATGTCCGCAAATGAATGGTTTCAGAGATACGGAGTGTTTTGTGTTTTGTATCATTTTTTGATTATCTTTTTTCATTCTCAAAAACTTGCTTTTCTTATCGGAGTCTACCGATGTTTTTTCATAGATACTATTTGCAGTTATTATTTTGTTGTGGGTGAATAATTTTATAAATTTTCGTTATGCCTGTTTACACTAATATTGAATTAGCTGACATGCATTTTATGTACGGTCGTGCAAATGGCAATGCGAGGGAAGCGCTACGTCAGTATATCGACGCTTTCCCTAATCGCCACATCCCTTCAGTTCGTGTGTTTGGAAGATTGCACCAAAAATTGTTATAAACACAAAATGGTCCGTATCTCCAAAACCGTTAATTTGCGGTCATACATTTATTAAGACTTTTCTGCTTATTTTGGGTCATACTATTCACCATTTCATTTTGTGACACTTTTTTTTAACACCCTGTATACGACATGTAATATAAGCGGATGAGTTTATAAAAAATGTTAGGAACAAAATTATTCCCAATAAAAAGTTTTGTATTACCTAAAACGTAAAATAAAATCATCAGATATCACATTTTTTAGTCGTATACGGGTTTCGTTAAAAAATAGAAAATTTGCTTAAGAATAAAGTACCTTTATTTTAAACACACCTCGTATACGACGGATAAAATTTAGTATTAGATGTTTGTATTTAAGGTTTGATCATGCACAACTTTCTGCGAAAATTAACTTTTTTCCTAAAATTATTAATAAAAAAGTTTTCCATATGATTTCAACTTAGGTAGACACACAGTATGTCTGAAAAAGTTTTACGAAAAAAAGTTATTCTTTATGAAAATCTCTGCTTGCCAAAATAATAATATTCAGGTTGTTACTTTAAAAGGGGGATTTAACCTTGTTGGTTAAATTATCTCCCGATTCCAGGGTTTTCTGTGAAGTGGTTCTGGCACTCAAATTTATATTTTTAATTAAACAAGAGGGTTGTCTCTCTACAGTAATTTATTATCTGCAGCAAATAGATGGAGTTTGTTGTTTATAAGATATTTACAATTAATATTAGGGAATAATATATTGTTTACAATAAAATCAAGCCCCGGTCTTCTGTGTGGTATGCATACTATACGTGAAGATTCACAACTAATCTTTTGGGCCATACAAAGTAAGTAATCCTATATTATATTTAAAAAGCCAGTTATTAATTTAGATAGCAAATCTATAAGTTTTATAGGGATTATATATATTTTGTAGGTTATTGAAGACTACTTCCTATTTAATAAAAAGAACAATCTTAGTTTTCTCTAAGCATTATGGGCTATGGTTATGAGTACGAAAAATATATGAAAATCAATAATAAAGTGGTATATCTTGTATTGCTACTACTTAGCTGCGTTCCAGTGGACATCGGAGACTCAAAAGTGCATTCACTGCTTCTTAGCCTAGTGATGTCAGCCTCTATTGGATATACGTAACCTGTACCTACTCAGGAATATTCGTGAGGGTTTCTTCGAGCCCAAAGATGAAGAATTAAGAGGGTGAATAACGATTGGAGAACAAGACAATCTGATGCGATACGATAAGGTAAGTTATTACACGATAACTTAAGAAAAGAGACCTAAAATAATATTTTACATTTTAACAACCAGAGTAAATTTTAAATAGAATATTTTGAATAAGTTATTTCTATAAGACTCACCTTGGCGTGGCGTGAGGCCTCCAAGTGGCTTCGATAAAGTCGAAGTATTTTAAATTCTAAATCTAAGAATAATTATGAAAATTATATCTACAGTGATGTCATATTTTCGTAAATATTGAAATATTCACTAAATTTATTCTAGATTTATGTAAAAATCCGCAATAATGCGAGCACGTTCTTCACGAACCAAAATGTGCGTTCTAAAAAGAAAGCTTTTCAAAAAAAGTTCCTTTTTTTTTGTTATTGACCTTAGCCGGTCTTATTAGTCTAGAGGTAAGACTATAGAAAAGATCTGGTTGTAGGTTTACCTGACAAGTTTTAGTTTCCTAATTGACAATTTTTATATATGAGAAGAAAAGAATAATCATTGAAGTTTAAACCTTTGAAATTCTAAAGGTTATGTTATTGTTATTAATTTATTCAGGGTTTAATATTTATTTTTTTCTTTCAGGAAAGTCAAGAAGATATAAAAGACCCTATTAGTGAACTAAGAAGAATTATGATGGAAGTAGAATAATTGAAATAAATTGTTATACATTGTACTAGAAGAATATCTCGAATAAAGTTAATAGTTTTACTTTGCCTTCATTTATTTTGTGTCAGCTTATTGGAAAACAGGTAAATTTACTATTTATTTTAAATTATGCCCAGAAAAGATATTCAAATTTAAATTAATTAAATTTTTTCAATTAACCCGCAACAAGGTATTTACATTTGACATTGCAAAAGATTAATAGAAATGTTTTGACAACTTCAATTTCAACTTAAATTTTGCAAATTTTAGTTGTAAAACACGTCAACTTTTATCTTATTTAACAATTCAACACATCTTAAATGTTTATTTGCTGATTTGCAATATTTTAGCAATTAACTTAAATCAGTGATAAATAAGTAATACCCAACAAAATAATGTATTTTTTTAATGTAATACACAAAAATAAACGAAATAATTTAAAATTTAGGCGGTTCTGACTGACATTTCTCTTATCGAAAGTCAGCCTAGTAAAAGCTTTCGAGAAATAAAAAATACATATTAAAGTTTTCGATATTGTATAAAATAAAGGTACTTTACTCTTGTTATATTTTTTTGACAAACCTCGTATACGGTTTAAAAAATTGACATCTGACATTTGCGTTTTACTTCACGGGCCATGCAGAAATTTTTATAAAGAATAACTTTTTTTCGTAACAACACAAAAAAAAAGTTTCTCATATGTTGCAAACTTTTTCAGATATACTGTATATTTATTAGCTCTCATAAATTCATAAAACCTGAAAAAGTCAAACGTCAATTTTGTACGCCACTGATTGAGCGATACTTTCTGAATTCCATGTTTTTGAGTTATTTAACAAAATAATTCTTACTTGCATATATGTAAATGTATTTTTTTAAATATCATCAATAGGTTACTTAAAACATAGTGTTTTTCTTTAAAATAATCCAATTAATTATTTTTAAACGAAATACTATACTGATATTGTTACACCAAACATCACACGAATAATAATTAGAAAAACTCTGGCCCTGGAATTCGAAAAAACAAAACACCTGAATCCAAAAAATACCAAAATTATACCGCTAAGATCTTCGCTACCAACACTACACATTATTACGAAAATACGTATTGAATTTAAACCTTTCCATCACTGCTTATTTCTTATATTTGCCTTGTTTTATAATAACTGTTTCCATGAAACCACCGCGCTGTTGCCAAGTTTCGGGCCTGTAATCGTTGTAAAAATGGAACGAAATATATACGATATACACTTCTAACTCGAGCGCCACCTAGCCGTTTGGTCCCGGAACTAAATCCGTATAAAAATTACCATTTTTGCGACTTTTCAGGCCCAGCTAATATTTCATCCCTGTGATCTATAGACCCCCTCTAGCCCATCTAGCATGGAAAACGTTGTCATGCCCGAAAGTGGGACTGACAACGTAGGTTTTGGACTGAGAACGTCGGTAGTATGTAGCAAAATGGGAATGTGTAAGCGCTAAAGTAAATATATATATATATATATGTATATATATATATATATATATATATATATATATATATATATATATATATATATATATATATATATATATATATATATATATCAAAATGAAAACGATCAATGAAGTGTTTATAATGATCTATCTGCAGCATAGCAACGGCAGTCCTTTTTATACTGCGTTCAAATGATCCGCCTACTTGTGTCTTCACCCAGAAAATCCTGTAAAGGTTTACAAAAGAAAAAACACAGCTTAATCAATAACGGTGACGTTATTAAAAAAGAAGAGACCAGATGGTTGTCACTCCAAAACATTGCATATAACCACGGCGTACTATAAAGGTGTTTCAACTCCCTGAAAAAAACATACCAAAACCGATCGTACTTCCTAGCCAAAATCCGCTAGGTTCGCTAGTGTCGTTACGGCGGAAAATTGCGGCAATCTTTTTATCTGTCAAAAAAAGTGCAATCATAAAAATAGTTCTTCTATGGTGAAAATTCGAGTTTATATGAAATGAAAAATGACAAAACTATCAGAAGGAGTACAGATGAAAAAATTAATGGTCAACAAATAAGTTTATTGTTATTGATGGTTGCTTATAAGTGTTTTTTTTTAAACAAGCTGCACTGATGTGTGAGTTTATACGATCAAAAAAAGTGATCAAGATTTAATAAATATGCTCCAATTAAGTTACAAGTTGCTGCCAGAGACTTGCTACTAAATAAGTGAAATGGGGGTGTTTATAAAAAACAGCTGATTTTGTTTTGTGTTCAAATATTACCTTTGGCTTTGGCAAAAACAGCAATACAGTGGGTTACTGATTATAAAATGAAGAAGTGGACCTTAACTATGGTACTCAGATTGAAGCGTATTATTTTTAAAGTGAGTTTTGTGATTTTCATTGCCCAGATTAAAGATATTCAATAAACATTTAGTTTTATACCTACTATAATCAAATCCATACATAGTGATTGGAATTACAAACATTTCTGTGAAATAGCATTATACAAGAATAATGAAGTCTCACTGGACTGGAGTATATATGTTTCCAAAGATCAGTAAGTACCTATATCAATTATTATTATTTTTATTAATAAATATCAGTAATAAATACATCTCAAAGAATAACAAGGTTGTAACTGTACTTTTTGGAAAAAATGAGATTGGTAGAATATATTATTTAATTTGTTTTTGTGACCAATATGTTCATCTGTTAATTATCAATGTTGTGTTATCGAAGCACTAAAGTTATTCACATGGTTCTATCTGCATGTACATAGAACTTATACAGTTTTTAGTAGTCAGATCTTCGTTATTCCCTAATCCCTAGCAAATGTAGTCTCCATCCTCCACAATTATATTAAGATTAAAGGCCAGGTTTTTACCTATGAATAAAGTTGAAAGTAACTACTTGCTGATTAGGCTATAGATTATACTTACACCTAACTTTACTCAGAGGTTAAAAAATCTGCCATTAAAAGTACAGTGAGTTTTAGAGCATAAACCTTATTAAATATAATGGGTGTTTTTTTATTAAACTTTTTGTTTTTAAACAGTTTTGGTTGAAAATTATAAAAAAAATGATATAGGATACCCGATACCTGGAAAGATTTATACCTAATATAAAACAACATTTAAAAATTCTGAATTAACAAAAGTATGTATTTTCTGTTCCAAGCGTTGTCTCTGTTACCTAAACTAAATACTAGAAATAAAGTTTTAACTGGCAGTTACTACTATGCTCTATCAAATATTCTAAAAAATGCTGCAATGCTAGATGAAATCTTTAATTAGGTATCAAATTTGTAAAATGTTAGAGATAGTATGTAGGTATATAGGGAAAATAAAAAATATAATTATAATGAAGAGTAAGAACTTTTAAATTTTAATATAACTAGAACAAAATATTCAGTAATTAAAAATTTTGATAGGAATTAAAAATTATGCTCGAGTATAAATGTTGTGCTTGTTTTTAAGTGGTTTCGATTTACTTTAGGTTTGTTCCAACAATGCTCAGAAATGAGTTACTGACATCAGGATTCTGCACAGTAGTTTATCGATACTGCAAAATTGTGTACTACCCAGTGGTTTGTTTCTGATCATTGTTGGAACATATCTTTTATTCAATACATAATTGAACAAGTTAAATGTGTATTTGGAATTTTTTTAATTTTACAAATCTCAAGCTTGAATATGGATTTTCAAATTATGCACTTTTTGTAGTTTTTAATAATGCTTATTTTTTTTTAGTTTCTTGTTCATTTAATAAAGATGCTTTTTTGTATATGGGGTGATAATTTTTAAGCAGAGGCGTGCAGCACCCACAAGATCACTGCCAGAATTAAAGCAAATGGGTAATCTAGAAATATGGAGTAGGTTCCCTGCACGTAAGATTTTCAAGAACTTATAAATACAATGTTTTAATGAATTATTGCCGTTATCAAAGTTAAAGGTGATGAAACACTCATGAAAATTTGTAAATATTTAACCCTTTCAGTGTATTTGTCCCTCCAGAGGGACACTGTCTTAATTAACCCTGAAGTATACATCTGTTAATTTTGGTAGAAATTTTTCTTTTTGGTTTATTTACTTTATTTGCATTACTATTAAGGATTAATATTATAAAAAAATTATTTTCATAGTAAATTTTTGTTTTTGTAATGTCCCTGAACAGGGACGTTATGTCTTGGAGTAATAAAAAATACTATGAAAAAATTTTAATTTACTTAAAATAAACAAAGAAAACATACAATCTAGGTACTATAATGGTATTTTTTTTAATGAAAGTGGAAGTGAAAGGGTTAAAAAAATAAAAGTAATTTATCAGATTTATGTATGATTTGTTCTTGTAGTGACAGTCACTATAAATTTGAGAAGTGTGCTAATTGAAACGGGACAGGGCTCATATAGTTTTATTTAAAAAGTAAACCTTGTCATTAATTAAATATAAATAATTGTTGTAATGTTTTTCTGAAATCGGAAGTGTTGTCAGGTTTGTTACTGTCTGCTGCTAACTGTGATGTGTACAAGCGAACATAATAAACCTACTTATTGAGTACATTAATATGAAAAACTCATAATAAATCTGGAAACTATACATTTGAAATTTTCCTACTTATTTTTTCATTACTGCTATTATCTAATAGAACAATTCCTATGCTTTTATTTAATATTTAATTTTCCACAAATAAATATAAAAAAATAATTAGTAAAATTATAAAATGAGTTCCAATTAAATAATGAACTATATTATTAATTTAAATTGTTAATATAAGAAATGAATAAATTAAGTAAGTAAAAGTGTAATAATGGGAAATGTGTAAATTGTATTTATTTCTAATTTTAAATAATTTTGTGTGTATTGTTAATTTTCTTTCTAATGTAAAATTAATAAATTAATAATTTTAACAAAAATTTAATTAGATGTTTTATTTGTGTTAGAATTCGAATACAATAAGAAGAACACTGCTGTCATAATGATTAC